GTCAAATAAGTCGTCCAACTCAGTGAATAGAGCATACGCGACTGAAACGAGCTGAGATCTTGGGACTGTTAAAACGTTAGGGTGCATTCGAACCACACACCTTTCGGTGCTGACGTTCGCGTCATCTCGAGTCCGAATAACTTCTCAAAAGTGACTATCGTAACCATAACCTGTACAGTGTTATTCAGCAATGCCTCACTATGCCAAGTTGTGTTTGATGCATCGTTGGGACTCAGTCCATGCATTAGAACCTCGCTGTTGCTCGTGATTGGCTCAGAAATTTACAGTAATCTGAGCTTGTGACAAAGGCAATGAACTGACGGTTTAGGTCAATTTTAATTCGGGGTGCTCTCGTTCAACCATAGGGCCGAAACTGAGCGGAATCGACTGAATATCCGATTTACTGTCTGGGTTTTTGTGGAGGTTTTTTTCATCATTCACATCGTCGTCATCATTTCGAACATCGATTGCTCCACAGAGTGTCTTGCTCAGTGGATGGGGAACACTGCCTCAGCATCCTACATCTCAGGCAATTGCAGCAGCGACGACTTCATTGGTTTGACGGTGTTGTTCGAAAGACTGCATGCTAGCCATGAAAAACTGCATTGGCTCCTTCGCCATGTCCTGGACGACGCTGCAGCTGAGAACATGGAGGGGTTCGGTCTCAATTTAGTAACGGTATGGGTTGCTTTACTCGGAATTGTGCCTCAGTCTGCGTGGACCTACTCTGTTCGTAGATAACAATAGTACGGGGCATCTCTGAAGCCGACTCGTCCTGCTACGAGAGAGCTGTCGTAATGTAAGTATGGCGGGGCGGAGTAGGTTAGGCTTCTTCGATGGAGCACCCTTTACATAAACAGGACTTTGGTGGTCTATTCCAGAGCGTCTTTCTGCTGAATGTACCTGGACCTATCATATTCTGATCGGCCCCATCCCCTTGTACTGTCTAGCAAGTGAGTGTCGGCACATTGTGCATTGCATAGTGTACAATCGATGCTGCAGCGTGTGGTATTAGCGCTGTGAGAAAACTGAAGACCTCGCAAGACACCGGCCAAAACAGGCGTTCAATCGATGAACTAATACAGCCAATCAGTTCTTCTTTCGCTTTAGCTTAATGTGTGTATGTGAATGGAAGGCGTCTCGTTAAGCTAGTGTTCATACTGTTCTCATTCACACTGCAAGGAAGTGAATTGCTATTCTTACCAGCATATCTGCTAATTGGACTCTACATTCATACGCACGCACACGTTTGTACTACGTGCTTTCCAACTCATGACACAATACTAGTCTTGTGTATGCGACGAGCGTGATCCATCAGTGTTTAGTCGTAGCTTCTTATCGTCCGCTCAGGATAGCTTAGGCCGTCATACTCGGCGACGCAATGGATGTTGTTCGGCGGTAGTCGTTCTTCTTTCCTTCCGCATGCACGGCAGAAATGTCCACTGACTTTTTCCAGCTCTCCAGTTTTCTCCCTTCCTCTTTTATCTGTTCACTTCAAATCCATCCTCCCACTTGGCTCCTGGTCTTGGCATAGTTAATGACTTGCTGCGCACCTCAATATGAGTCCAGTATATGTTTTTAATGACGTGGACAATAGCAGCAGTTCATCATTTTCGTGATTTCTTCTGAGCGCACGTGTACCTTAAAGTCCTGATGAGAATACATGGTTGATAGCATGGCTGGCGGCACTGCCTCCAAAACCTGGTCTCCTTCGATCTGCTCACAGATTCTCCCATTTCCTAAATGTTTGATTCTCAAAATGTGCGGCTCACCGATAGCGTGCCGCCTTTCCGATCTGCCAGTAGGGGGGGGGGGGTTGTCACGTGCGGTGCGAAACATCCGGTATTCAGGTTATCCTAGTTGCCGTATGTTTTCGTTGCAAGATCAGTAGACACTTTCTGTTGAACTTTTCACTCATATCTATTGCTTTGGCGAAATCATGATACTGATAGCTATATTGTTTGTCATCCACCTCTCACTGGTATTTATTTGAATAAGACCTTCACTCGTAATGCACTATTCATAAGTTTACTGAAAATTCGTCGACTTAATGAGTAGTGCATGATGAATATACATGTATCGCGATATCTCGAATATCGTAGCGACTGAAACATGAGGCGGTCTGGTGCAGCACTTTCAGTTGCCTGGAAACATCACAAACGAGAGACTCACCTGGATTCCAGGTGAGTCGCAAAAATAAACTGGTGTGCAAATGAATGTATTTCGATAAGACTTTGATTCACTTATCCAGAATAATGTTCTCTGGTCTCCATGCTGTCATTTTTATCACGCTCGTAGCAAGTGACCAAACAGGCATTGGACTCTTTCTGTTTATTATCATCTTTGTCTAGTTTCCTGATTTAGGGGATTTGGAGTGAGTACGTTATACGGTTAGGTAGCTTTGTGCAACTCCAACTGAATGGTATGGCACTACCGAGGTTGCATTATCCGTACCAACAACCCGTGGTCCCACACAGAACGTGGACACTTTTTGGGAAATGAAAATCACGCCCTTCCATAAAAGTATCCAAATTCATGTAAAAATGGGGTGCTTGTGCAATCCAAAATAGCAGTACGCCGGTTGTGCAAAACAGAATCGTGAACACCGCTATAATTATTCGGGGCTTCATCGCGTGAACAAGTGAAATTGCACACATTATGTTTTTGTGGTGTTCGCTCGTGGGCCATTTCAAAACACCAACCTCTACTGCAAGAAGTTTTGAAGGTCCCACTTGAAAGTTTTTTGGGGAAGAAGCTGTGCAATGATTTTCCATGTTTGATATCCACATTTCTCTGTCAGTAACGAATACCCATATTATTTCTCACTCCTAGGTGTTGCTTAGTTGGAGATTAGGTCATACTGAATCAAGGCCATGAGAAACATCATTTTCCAACCTCCATGAAGTCAGATACCCATTTTTTTAACTAGTCACCATCGCTGAACCAGTTTATTATCAATAATCGCCTGGAACCATTGCGTAACTCAGAATCGCTCGAGCAAAGCTAATTGACATTCTCTGGTTCCGGGGAAAGGCATTTCCCCCTCCATAACCTTGGCAATCGATCTTTCCACTGTTTCGCGACATGTTTGTTTTGATCTAGGCATCATGCTCGATTGCCTTTTCTTACCTTCCTAGAACACACAATGTGGATCTTTGGGGCAACAGACAAGCTGCTCTGTGGAGTGACATAGCTTAGGTTCAGCCGCGAAATGGCGACCAATCATGGCGTCTTGGTTTGGAATAGCAAGCAAGACGATGTGAATGCCACAGTCAATTCTCCGGGAGTTTGAGTGTCACCCCGTGGAGACAAAGCGTGTCCACTTCGATTCCTGGAGGCTTTCTCCGGTACCGGGAACCCATGCTGTTAAAAATTGACTTTCCAATTTAGTGTGTACACCGTGTTCCTTAGGTTTAGGTTTACTAGGAAGAATTCTGAGCGCCGAAGCGGATTCTGAAGTAGAAGAAGGAATCTGTTGAGGTGGTCGGAAACTGTACGTTAGATACGACCGTAATTGGAATCGGAGGCGGTTCGGATGGATACAAAACACACTCATAGTGTTCATCATTGATAGGCCTTCATATGGGAAGCCATTCACCTTGTCCAATTCAACTTAACAATTGAACAGAACCTCCCTCTTCGAGTGAGCACCTAGCTTATGATATTGGCTACTCGTTGCGGTAGAAATATTATGATATTGTTACATAATTCGTGTCAAATTACCAGCTGATACGTACACGACATCCCGACATCTTCACATCCGTGGCAATATAATCGCTTTGTGTATACTGGTAATAGTTTCGTCTTTTCTTGTTGAGAGGAATTCAACTTACTACTGCATAGATGCAGTAGTCATTTAGTTTCGTTCCACAATTAACGTTCAGTTTAATGGAGATGTGATCCGTCACCCGGACTACAGTATGCCTAAACTCGTACTCTCAGGTACATTGTCTTATGGTACCCCGTCTTGTTACTGTTCAATGTGTATTTTCATCTTGACAATAGACCTCAGAAAAATAGGAATCGTTGCTTTGTTGTTTGCCAGCTTGCTCTGTAGGCTGAGAATGCTTGTTACAATGGCTGCTAAACTATCCGACAGAATGAATATATTCACAACGACAGTCTCTGACCACATGATGTTCACAGATAAGTGCGATAGAAGAGGTGCTGGGGCACCTGTTCCCATCCGCGAGGGCGTCAGTAACGGTTGCTTATGTCTAACCCGTGAACTGGAACTTCCCAATAGACGGTTCCCTCTTACCATCCATGAATAATAGATTTTGTCCCGATTTTCAGCCACATAAGACGGACGCAGTTCCGCTTGGTATCGCGCTGAGCTGACCCTGATCTAATTGGATCTCAGCTGAGTAAGTCAAGTTTTTCCCTCAGTCTATGTATGAACATGCAGGAGTTATCATCTGAATTAAATGTAACCTCACCCACCTTTCTCTAACTGAATTGCTATGACACTCGCAAACCAAATCGGATCCGAACTAATTTTAAACTCCCCCAACCCATCAACGCAAGGTTTAGGCGACCACACTAACTGACGAGAACCGTCAATTGACATTCAACACTGATCTAGTGCGCTAATCTGAAGACGTCTTACTGATTGGTTCTCCGTGTGCCTTAAAAACCTTGCCAACTTGGTGGCCTGCTCACTTGGCCTGATGAAGTCTTTTACTCAAAAGCTAAACGTTGCCCACTTAAAAACTACCGATTGTACACCAAGCCCTTCTGAAATAAAACATACCATTTCCCATCTTTTAGTTGATCATAGCAGTTTTGTTACACAATGTCCGTGTTTTCGATCAGCTGCGCCGTTGTTTGACATCTCATCGGTCGATCCTACTACACTATTGGCTGCTTTCCCCTCAAGGTCGTTGCACTGTTCGCATGGGTTTGGAAGTGGATTGGGCACACAGCCCAACATCCGGATGTTCTTTCTCAGACTGTTTGATTAGCATTTGCTTTCTTGTTACGACAGGTACAATTATGAGGTTTGTCAGCTGCTGACCAGATATAATTTTATTTCCGCCACAGGAAGTGGACCAATGGTGGGAAAACATTTTGCGAGGTCTAGCACTTGTTTGTTATTTGAGGCTTGTCACTTCAAGCACACTTGCTCACGTGCTTTTCATCAGAACCTTAGCTTTCCAATCAGGTGTGCTCACCATCCACCCACCATGATGTTGACAACCTCTTATATATTCAGTTTCCGAGGCTTGTACTCAATACACAGTTGATAGCCGTGTTTTGTCTATTTCAGGTTACTCTCCTTTCAATATGTCTACTTTACGCGAGCCAGCTCATCCTCAACACTCAATGTCTCCGCCATCCTCACACTTGGATCAAGGTACAAAACCTTATCATTCTTGCCTACATCCCCGATCTGCCTCCCCTACAGAACATGTGCAAATCCCAGAGAAAGTCTCGCGTAAGGTCAGTTTTTCTGACGTGGTCGTTACCAGTAGTCGGGTGGAGAATACGGAACGGGAAGCTGTTGCGGCCGCCCGCTTCTACGAACAAGTGAATGTCGAAGAGCGGCGAAGTTCTAGTCCAGTCGGAGAGGCTGGTCACAACATAGACGTCCAACTGATCGATGCCAAAGAGCATGAGTTGACTCGTGACACGGCACTAGCGGCGTCAACGCTCCCCGTATATGAAGTCAAACTTGGCATGCTGAAGCAGGCAACTATCTATCATGTCGAGTTTGTTGTTCCAGACGCACTCCCTCTGAGAGCTGCAGAATTGCTACGATACATTGATGAGGTTCCTGGCCATGTGAACGCACCCGTCAATGTTGGTGCCAATGTGGAGTTGTTGGAATGTGATGTGGAGGCATCTGTAGGGGGTAAGTTACGGCTGGGCGCAATTTACTTGTCTCCAGATCCAAACATTATTTGTTGCTAGTCAGATGCTAGTCTTTTTAAAATTTGCGGCTTCTGTGTGAGTTTCGCCCCAATTATCCGCTCATCATCATTGACAGCATGACATCAGTGTTCAACACCGATGCTTCACTGCCGTAATAATCCGCTCGGATTCACAAGAAACTACTTTGTAGTGGCTCGTGGCCCTGCTCGTCTTCTTTTCCTTCACTTTCGAACCCACTTGACTTTCTTAACACTATAACGCAAAATTCCTTTCTTTCACTCAGAACATTTTCTGTCTAGATAAACCAAAGTGCACTGTAAAAGTTGTGTATACGGGATATTGTAGGTAGCAGTCCAATTGGTCACCTGTAAAGGCTCTATCGGAATCCGAAGCTTTTGTTCAATAATGAGTTTTTATGCCCTTAACTTATTAAACTGGCCGGGCAAAGCGTACTTTTTTGGAAAACGTGATGATAAGTCTGTCCGCAAAAATCGGTTGAACATAGTATATGACACTAGCTGTCCTAGTCTTTGGTGATAACCCCTAGCATGCGCTTGTTCGCTCCCAGCTGATTGTGGTGGGAAGCTGGTCGTACACCGTGGATGGGTGACGGTGAAGTGGGGTAACTGAAATTTTTCAGATTTACTACGTTGTTTATGCTCGAGCAAAGGAGGCATGAGCATGAAAGGAATTGGTGCATTGTCGTCAGCTTGGCATTTGGTTGTTTGAAATCTGTTTGAGTGCGTGGGATTTATCAACTCGGTTGACCAAGACTGCGGCAAACATTGGCTTATGGACACACGGTTCACTTCGGAGAGATCTCAATTGTCATACAGCTCTCTTCGTCTCCTGCAAAGTACGCTCACCCGGCAATGGCAATATGGCACTCGATGGCGAATTTTATGTCTGCAATTAAAGTTCGTCTCATACCAGATGTCCTGGCTCCTGTAGGTGATGGAGTTGTAATTTCCAACTTGTTCACGATCTATAAAGCTGTACTATTTAGGCATTTTTACTCTCTTTTGGCCGATGAAAACTGGGCAGTATGTAGAAAGTTGAAAAAGACCTGAGTTTTAGTTACTTGCCGACTTTTTGGTAATGTCATTCGACGCATCCTGGCTGAATGACGGTGTTCTGATGTCTTAGTTTTCTAACTGTTGAGTGCATGGCCACATTCGTACCTTTTTGAAAACGTGGAAGATGAGTACGCATGCATTCGAAAATATCTCCATGAATGGAACGGATGCTCACCTAACCGTGCCCATTTCTTCTCATTGTTGTTGAATTTTCAGTGAAATTTCGATAAGTGTAAAGCAACGAACAGCCTTTTGGTGGTCTTAGTAAGGCTGATGCTGTTTTTGATTCACCTTGGTCGAAGGTCAGACACCTATAAAGTAGCCACTCATCGTGGAAGGTGTGCGAAATAGATGTATGACGTATGATGGGATGATACGGTATCCATAGCATTGATGCCCTAACCAGTGTCATGAACTGCCTGTGGGAAACGATTCAAGGAATGACTGGGGATAGGTTATGTGGTAGGCGCATGTTGAACGCGTAACCAATTTTCTTGCTTGGATCTATCGCGCCATATTCATTCATGATCAGAGATGAACAAATTTAGCTAGGTGTCGGAATTCGGAAGCCAGGAGGTTTGAAATATTCTTCCCTGGAACCATGAAAGTTGTGTAAACTTCGTGGGAATGGAGCAGCATGTTCGAACTAGCTAGCTGCAGCAAAGACGCTCCTGGCGGCTACTCCGTAATCTCTCCGAGAGTGTTGTGCGGGTTAGTACTATGAAGCACCGATCGCATATCAAGGTCATGGACATGTGTGTAAATTCCAGACAGTACAGTTATGGCAATGGACAGATAGCGCCTTCGGTTGCTTCGGGAACGTGTATACCTCACCTTGGGGCCTGATCAATCAATTCAATTTGTCAGCTATATACCGTGTGCCATAAGCACATTGGCTCAAGCTGCTACAATTGGTTTCCTTGTTAGTTAGCTCCCATGTTCTGGTTTTGAGGATGTGGGTACGAACTCTGATTGAATGATCATGCGAATGTGACTGACAATCACACCGATATGCTTTACCACGAACTCCACAGTCATGCTGTAAAATGTCACAGGTTCCTGATCTGAGCTATTGCTTTTAACTTTCAAATACTTCCGGCATAACTTTTATCCGTATGGTGGGTAAATAGGAAGCTGGCACTACAATGACGTTAACTCGTTGATATGGTATGTGGTCAGGTGCACCAACTTTGCGGACTGAAGGCCTTATCTGCCCGTTTCACTTGTGCTTGCTTTTGCGGTCTTGCTGTTGACTTGTTTTGTCAAAGGAATTCTTGGCTATTGGTTGGCTTGTTCATATCTGATTGTTTTTGTGCAATTTACTTATATGTTTCTCCTTCTGTGCGACTAGTGGTGGCCGATATGCAGTCTACCTTTATGAGTAGTCTTGGTAGCTTAGTATCTGAAATTAGTGCTGTTTTACAAGCTAATAAGGACAACGCTAACTAACGTGGATTTACTGGGTGACTAAACTGACTGCGGCTCAATCTATAACGTACGATGTTCTTCGAGTGGAAACTCGGAGACTGTGCCTACCTTGTGAGTCACAAAAAGGGCGAAACCGTTTGCGGGATGTCAGAGTTTTCAGCAACCCTATTAGTAGTATGTTTTGTCAAGAACAACCCTGTTTTTTATTTTGACATATTGGATATTGCTGTATGGACGTTTCAGTTTGTCAGTCTGTTTTATAAAGAATTTTGTCGTATACGATGCCAGAGGGCTGTTGAAGTCTTTGTTTAAGCAGCGATCTCAAGACAGATTATGCTGTGGAGAAGCACTACGTTGCTGGTTCCACCTTGTTTTTGATAAAAAAAATATGGGCTATTTGATCAGGAGGGAAAATATCCCATAGGTCTCATGCACCTTTTTCTTAGAACTAGTCACTCAAGGAACCGGAGTGTTTGATCTGATCATGGCCGGCTGTTTGGTTAGATGACTGCGGCTCCTAACCTCCCTGTAACTCACCGAGCTGCTCACTGCTTTTGATTTCAATCAGGAATGTATGGTGCTCGTTGACTTTTTCTAGCATGAGTCAGCTTTACTTTCGGGAGGAAATCCAAAGTTGCTGATGGTAAGTAGGACCTTGAATCATTGTACTGCCGCTTACATCCATAGTTTGGCCGTAGGTGGTTGTTTAATAATACAATGGGGATATCTCGACACGTGAAGCAGTGTTCCTAAAAATATTTTACCTCGTTTTTTCTTCATCTCAGCTTGGCCAGTGAAAAATGCCATACTTTTTGCTCGGTAGCCATTATTGATTCTTCCCCATGTTTGCCGCGACCCTGTTCGTTTGGACCTCCAATGATCAGGAGCTTTTTAAGCGAACAAACAAATGTTTCAGTGGTGTAGGGGGCAGTGTTTTTTCTCTGTTGGACTGGGCACTGTCGAAAAATGGAGTTTTAGTTGTTTTCGAATTCCGTCGGTGCTTGACTGTCTGTTCGGATGCGCTGGTTAATGACAAATAATGATTGGCGGTGGTGTCGATGTGTATGTATGTGACTTTGTTGGCATTTTTTTTCGATTGCCGCTTCGATTTAAGTGGAACTGATTTGCATTTACATTCAACCCATTTAAATTCATCAGGCTATTTTCCGAGAAACAGCTCGCTAGAAGTGTCTGATGGTTTGCCATTCGGATTTGTTCCCGCTCTGTTGTTGATCCAAACTCAATTGATCCGTACCAACAGAACCCACAAACTTTCAAACTTGGGTTGATTCGAGGCACGGAATGTTATCACGCTTCAAGTCTACGACCGCCGTGGAAGTGTCCCGCATATGTGAAACTCTGACGGTGATGGAGTAGTGTTTTTTTGAAACACTAGTGATTATTTTTAACCATCCGAGGGTAGCAAGGCTTATCGAACGTTGCAGTGAAGTTTATAAAGACACACTTGTCCGCTGAATCGCGTCAAGTCGTTTAGCTCAACCTGCCCACACACGCTATCTTAATTTATCTTGGCTATCTGTGCGAGGATGAGCCGGTATCTTGGGTATCTTGAATTGCAACTACCCAAGCTGGGTGGTCGTGGCATGGCTCTCGCCGATATCGGTCCAGCGTTGAATTCACTGGCGTTGGCCGTGGCTGTCTATAGACCCAGATGTGTAACATAGGACTAATCAGTGTTGATCTAGATTTTCTGCCGTTTGGGTGTGGACTATGGAGCAAGAGCGTTCTGACTATGTCCTTATGTTAGCGATGAAGACCGCGTCCAAACCATCGGAGTGAACATTGTTGTATTAGCTGCTAGAGTTGAATGATGCCAAAGCATCGACGGCGGACCTCTCCATTCGCAACATGGTCTTCAGGACATACTTTGAGAACATTTCTAAAACGTCAGTAGTAAAAGATCTCTATCTTGTGAGCATCTGAGATGCACATTAGCCAGTGTGACATAAGACGGTCCGGGGTTCAGACCAACGGGTCCGAACCTTAGTCTTCCGGTTACTTTTCTTCCTTCAGTCATAGGAACTCTCTGCGGGTATGGTTCAATCTGGTTTTCTGCCTGTCCGGGCTGATCGGAAGGATGGTGGAGATGAGGTATCTGAACTAACAAACTTTCTTTAGCGTCGTCTGCATTAAAGCCATTGGTTTGTTAAGTGCTGTGTCTACCTTGTTCCCACTTTTATGCTGTCCTCGTCGGTGAGGTTGGAGACAACTTTACTCTTTCTGTTCCAGGGCACCGCTTACTCCTCAAACTGTCGACAACGAAGCAACGTCAAGTCAACGAATTCTTCACGCTGCGTCTCATCGACAACCCCAAGGAAGCTGTCCATCTGGTGCTACACGGGTTATCATTGGGTATGCCACTAATCAATGATCACAACTATTTTCTATCTGTTTTGTGTCCGGCATGGCTGCATCTCTGTACTTACTTGTGGCTGTTTCTTACAACGGGAGAAACCGGCTCTATGAATAACATCTACTTGGTCCCCCTTACCTGATAATCTGTATTAGTTTACTTCCTAAACTTTCGAAATTCTAGGTTCTTCTGCACAGCCTTCAAAAGGAGACTGCTTGGTAAGGAGCCGTGAACCTCCAAACTTGTTAGCCTTCTTTTCGGTACTATTTGCACTTGTATTTTGTATCTCTAAATCTTTTATTTCTGGTAGAGCTATAACCTGGATGTTCCCGTAAACACCTCTTCGAGCATACGGTCTATCTGCTGTTTAAGAGATTCATGCTTATCCTGCTAGCAATCTGAATGTGTTTTGATGTAATGTCAGGATGCCCGAAGGAGTGAACAAGGTCAGCTTACGCTAACGGAGTCCTCATTCTGCCTCAGAATAGTTTTAACCACCTGTTAGGAGAGATGGCTCAAGTGGTTAGAGCACGAATTTACTGACCGGAAGGTCCGTGGTTCGAACCCGACCACTGCCTTTCGACTTCTCCTGTCTAGGTTTGGGCGACCTGGCAGTATCCCAGCCCTGGTGCATCATTTGAACGGCGGATAATTGAGGACGTTTGTTGAAATATCTCGTTCTCTTTCTAATTACAGCAGTGGCTTCCAAAATGTTTGCTCCAACGTATGTGTGTACTGGGAGTTTTTAGTGCTGATTTGCCCATTCCAGAAACTGATGAACAGGATAGAGACAGTGCTTCCGGACTAGGCATCCTACCTCATGTACCTCAGTACGTGCTGATGGTATCATAATATCTCTGACTGGCTCTATGTGAGAGATAATTTAGTTCACCATAACTCCTATTGTACGTAATCCAGCTAATATCTGTGACTACTCTTTTGGATAACCTGTTTTCTAACCTCTCGGCGGTACGAACAGCTTCGCCGCCGTGCCGATCATAAAAATCTCAATATGCTGCTTTCCACTTTAATTAAGAGGCAAAACGGCTCACTGGTTAGAGCGCGAATTTATTGACCGGAAAGTTCGTGGTTCGAACCCGATCTCTGACTCTCGACTTTCCCTGTCTAGGCTTTGACAGTCTAGCAGTATCCCAGCCCTCGTGCTCCCTTCGGTTGGCATGGCAGCCAGACACCGAAAGGGTGTTACAGCTGAAAGCGTTTTCTTCTTTCTTTGATGACTGCCATAATAACATCGAAAACCGTAGTATTGAAATAGACCCCCAAGTCTACGTTCCTTGAACTTCTCTGAANCAAACCCGACCACTGCCTTTCGACTTCTCCTGTCTAGGTTTGGGCGACCTGGCAGTATCCCAGCCCTGGTGCATCATTTGAACGAGGACGTTTGTTGAAATATCTCGTTCTCTTTCTAATTACAGCAGTGGCTTCCAAAATGTTTGCTCCAACGTATGTGTGTACTGGGAGTTTTTAGTGCTGATTCGCCCATTCCAGAAACTGATGAACAGGATAGAGACAGTGCTTCCGGACTAGGCACCCTACCTCATGTACCTCCTCAGTACGTGCTGATGGTATCATAATATCTCTGACTGGCTCTATGTGAGAGATAATTTAGTTCACCATAACTCCTATTGTACGTAATCCAGCTAATATCTGTGACTACTCTTTTGGATTACCTGTTTTCTAACCTCTCGGCGGTACGAACAGCTTCGCCGCCGTGCCGATCATAAAAATCTCAATATGCTGCTTTCCACTTTAATTAAGAGGCAAAACGGCTCACTGGTTAGAGCGCGAATTTATTGACCGGAAAGTTCGTGGTTCGAACCGGACCTCTTCCTCTCGACTTCCCTTGTCTAGGCTCCGGCAAACTGGAAGTATCCCAGCCCTCGTGCTTCTTTCGAGGTGACATGGAAATCAGGCATCGAAAGCGTGCTGCAGCTAAAGGACTTTTCGTTTAAAATGTCTGGCCTTCCTCCTTGCTCCTTATGCATGGGGTGACAGTAGACACCTCTACATTGGAATTAAATCTTTCTGATCTCGCGTGTTGGGCAAATTAGCCACACTAATTCGCATAACAATCAATAATAATCAATAATGATACAGAGACCTACCATGCGACAAGTTATCTAAAATAAATCGGTCAGCTGTAGCACTCTTATGGTGCCTGGCTGCCATACCGCCCAAAGGAAGCACGAGGGCTGAGATACCGCCAGTTTGCCTGAGCGTAGACAGGAGAAGTCAAGTTTCAGAGGTCGGGTTCGATCCACGGACCTTCCATTCAGTAAGTTTGCCCTCTAACCACCGAGCCATATCGTACACAATATGCTCATGCATATATGAAGAAATTGGGACAAGTAATGTTGCCACTCAGTGCCATGGATGAAAAGCCGTTCAAGCGTAATCCCATAAAGAGTTGACTTCTGTTACGTTACGTGAAGTTACCAGATTAGCTAACTTGCAATTCATATTCCAACCTAATTGATTGTATGCCAACCCACAGATAGCATGAAGATGCTAAAGCGCCACAAATGACTCCTTCAAAATTCGATGGTGAACTATCACTAAACTTGCAATGCAGACATTTACTGAAAGCTGTAAAACCAATCGATAGAGATTTATAAGCGAGTGAGCCTGAATTGTCTATAAAGTCCCTCTCGACCGATCGTCGTTTGTAAATTTACCCCATTTTTAACATTTGTACGCCAGTTTCTTCGAGATGTACTCTTGTGAATTTGTTTTACTAGGTTTTTTCCCGACCGTCCTCATCGCCAGGTAATCAGAGGTCGTTTACTCCACTGACTTATTGATAATTTCACCACGGGGTCTATATGCTTTGTTTCGCACTGTACTTCTTACACGTGCGATTCGATATGATTTCCTTGGCAACTTCTGAACTTTTAGCCTTTTCTTTTGTGAAGGGTCTGTGTAACATGTAGCTGAATTAACCCGTACCAATCACCACAATAGAAATGATACAAATCTCTCAACGAGTAGTGGTGACACACTTTTTTGTGTTGGGCTACTCATGTTTTGGGCACCATACCCTACTGTTTCTTGCCATGTGTTTTAGCTCGTGGTCAAGGCACGCCGTTCCTTCGTTTGGGCATTCACCGAATCGGTGAGAATCCTGATTATGAAGACTCGGATGAGTTCACGGAATGGCCCGGATTCCCTGTTCCTTTGGAAGAAGAAGAAGCAGAGGGTGATGACGCACCGGATCCGCTGGAGCCTGACCAAGGAGATCGACCTGAGGATACTGAAGATCCTTTCATCACATGATCGAATAACCGCCTTGCTCCAAACTGTTGTGTTTACGTTTGTGTATATGCTGATCGTGACGCGTTGATTGCCACCAGAATGGTGGTGGCACTGTTGTATAGAAGTGTTCTCCATTCCCTTTACTGATCCTTCATACACTGCCCTCGTGTCTTATCAACGTGTGGGCTGATTTCCCCATCAGTTGTCCATCAGTTTTAAATGGACACTACTGATATGATTGAAATTCGCTTATGACCCACTGTTTATTTTGTATTGACGTTCGATTAGCATACACATCATCCTGGCACTACTGAATTTTCGAGTTCACTCGACCCAACCGGACAGGGTAATCAAACCAGGGTCATCTTTCACCGATATGTTTTCAAACTATGGTTCTACGCGAAACGAATCATCAATCCAACTTACGATAGCTGTTGCTTTCGAACTGACTGTCTGACTCATTTCCACTAGAGCACCAAAGTGTATCGGATAATTTCAGTCTCATCTACCAATGGGACGTAATAAATGTTATTTAACGTCGGTCAGCTGCTGTGAAAGCATGAGCCGGTGCCATGGGAATCGCATATCACACTTCTTCGCATGTGTTGATCAACTGAAAAGTACATGCAGATTGCAGTCCAGTTTAATTTCTAGTGTACCAAACTGAATTCCAGCCGGTTTCCAGCGCCAGTCTGTATATGGGGGCTAATGTAAGACTTCGTTTGTTTAGGTGTAAGTGTGGATAAGTTGTACGCCACAGTTATGTGTGATTTGATGGAGCTTGGCTCCATTGTTGTGTTATCGATGTTTGCAAATAGTCTGCGGTCCCAGATCCGTGGAACATTTTGTCAGATATCTAATGCTCACTAGGATTTTGGTCGTTTTCTGGTAAATACATTGGCTGTGCCTTCCAAGCCGTTCTAAATCTCTAGGTATGGGATTTTCTTCGCAAAAGACTTGGTTGGCAGTTTTTTTGTCTTATCCAAAGGTCGTAGCTATGTGGAATGGGTCGAATGTGTCCAGCTGAATCGACGGTATAGGACTCATCCACGTCCAGTCAGCGACCGTACCTCAGCTATTATTCCGCTGATGATTCAGTTGTTTGACTCGTACCCGTACAGCAGTGAGGCATTGATGTTGAACACTAATTTCATGCTGTCGATGATGTTGATGAGGACTACTCAGACGGGTCAAACTGAACTTCTTCAAAACGGTGACTATCAGAATAAACTTCAGATGTCACCGAAAGGCGGCTCTTCTGAGGTAGTCACTGAATTTGCCCTTAACCTCATGGTTAAATGAGTACATGTTTTCAATCGGGTGGGGGGTGGCAGTTTTATCACTCCAATACAATGAATAGGGGGCGCCAACTTTTTTCCACCTGTCAGAATTGATTAACATGCAACTCTTGCTGGTGGCCAAAAGTTCTTCACGCGCCACGTTTATTCTCGTATGAACCTTCACGTATTCACGTATGAACCTTCTTGAGCCACAATATTTGTCATCACTGGCTTGCCATCGCATGCACGACTGGTCTGTGAATATAATTACGCGCTATCAGTACTTAGGAGGGTTATCAATAGAAAGTCAAAAATTTGCCATTTGCTGGTGCATACATCATTTCGGGCCGTACAGGTGCCAAACACTTGTGAACATAATCTGTTGTTTGGACATCCGGAAAATCCGGGGGCTAACTTTTACGGGTTTACAAGGAGCAATTGGAATCGTCCAGTTGTAATATTCTTTCGGTGTCTAGCTGCTGTACCACTCAAAGGAAGCACGAGAGCTGAGCTACTTCCAGGTTGCCAGAGCCTAGAGAGGAGCAGTCGAGATGCAGAGGTTGGGTTCGAACCACGGACCCTGCGATCAGTAAATCTGCACCTTAACCTCTGAACTACCGCGCTTAAAAAGTTATTTAATTTCCTACTCTGTTTCTCATTTTGGCTCGCGACTTGACAAAAACAGTTGGCACACCCTTGATGAAAGTGGCTATGTTGGATTGGTGTCTATCCTAGAATTTAATATAAGTTCGCTCGTTTACCGTTCAAACTTTCCCACATTACTCATGCCACAGGCCATATACACCTGTGACTGTTTTCAGCAAATGGCTCAGGTTTCGTCCAAAGAGTTTCCGAACCCTCCACTCTTTTTGGTTCACTTTGGTCGTGATAAACTTTCAATAACTCAGTGTAACTTATCTCCATCTGAAGTCGGTGCAGTTCTCTCGTCACAGGGATGATGACTCTACTCAAGCATTTGCCGGTAGAACAGACGCCCTCGACCAGAAGAAGATGAACCTGCAGCTGCTTCCCCCCTCACAGTCAGGATGAAATTGTGGCAGGACTAGATGCATTTACAATTGAGGAGCACTCAAGACTGGTCTTGTGCCGAAAGTGATCCAGTCAATACCTGGTCGCCTCGCAAAAGCGTTCGGCAATGAACAACAAAATAACAGTTATCCGATGATCGATTCGTGCGTAGGCATACTGATCATGTACGCTGTTGCATAATCGAAATGAATGACCGCCCTTTCTCATTGGCCTATGGCTTCAGTCATAGAGGTTTTGTGCAAACGTTTAATCAATAAACAACGCAAAAAGTCAATTTTTCCTTATTGATTGTTCCCTTACTGTTTGTCAGTTAACCCACAAAATCGATCGATCAGTTTCATGCATTTGACCTACTGCGTAGACTACGGCCTGTACTTTATCATGCTTTTACGACGTGTCCAGGCCTAGACTAATCTACTCCATCGTGGTGCGTTAACCGTATTCACGCTTTTGCGAAATTAGGTCTCTAGATGATACCGTTCAGCCCAGGCTGCACCGCACGATGAAATTGACCGTTGTGATGGCCTTAAAAGACGTTCAGAGTTTTTCGAGAAATACACTCCTTTACAAATCGATTTGGTTTTCATGTGAGACTCAACTGGATGTCTCGTTTATGATATTCCATAACTGAATGTGCTGCCGCTTCATGTTTCAGTTGACAAGATATTCCAGATATCGAAGTATGTTTTCATAAAAAAAAACTACTCACAAGGTTGCTGAAAACTCTTCAAAAGCCCACGACCGGTTTCGCCCTTCTTGGGGCTCATCAGGTTGATTAAGTTTATCATAATTTATCTTTGGTGGCCGGTTCATCTTTGGTGTGTGGGGTGCATGAGATGCTGATAAGTCGCCCAGGAACAACTGCGAATTCGAGCCTAAATTGAACAACGACGATTCTGTCCTGACCTCTGAGTCTGAAACTTTCAGCAGCAGCAGATAAAGTTTGCAGCAAGTGCGACCATTTATCTGAGAAAATTTCTATACACTTCAAAAGGTGCCCGTGACGTGGCAGCTTGAAATGAAAGTTGATTTGAATGTGGGGCAGCCTTGGCGCTTTTTTTCGTGAAGTCAATTTGCTTCCACTTGCACGTGACCGGAAACCCTTCAGTTGCGTCCAGTACACACTAGTGGAATGGTGACAAGCCGGTCGTCTCACCGAGGTTAGATGGTACGGCCAAAGATTTCCGTTGCGAATTGGTTTGGTTGAGACTCATTGGAATAAATGTGCCAAGACGTGAGAAGAACTGTTTTGGCGAGTGTGATGTGAATGCAAATACGGATGTGTTTATTCTTCGTCACGGCGTGGTGTCCTTTTGATCGGGTTACGACCGAACATGTGAATGATGTGATTAGCGAACGCGCAACGCATATACCGACGAGTTATTCTCATTCGACAATTTTCACTGTTCAACAAACAACGGATCAATAAGGGCTGAAGAGCATCCTTTCCCTATCAGGTCCTAGTTCTTCTGACCTGTTGGAGTGAACACTTATAATGCATCTTGACATGGGTAATCCCATTATGAAACTAAATATTTTCGATTGCATACGCTGCATACGTTGGATCATGCGAATCAATTGTGGAGAACATAGCCTACGGAACAGACTGTGTACATTGCGAATTTCCATACAGAATGAAGATCTGGAAGCCTTGTCATCAACTGTGCCTGATTTGCATCTCAACAGCTGTCATAAGGTTCAAAACTGCCTGGGAGCTTCCACTGTGTTCGAGATAGGTCAGTGGCTAAGGCGCTAACTTACCGACCGGAAGTCTCAACATCAGCATCTTGAAAGCTCCTGTCTAGGATTCGACAGCCCGACGGTATATAAACTCTTGTGCTTCTTTCGGGTGGTATGGCAACTAGGCGCCAAAAGCGTGTAGCAGATGAACTAGTTTAATCGCGTATCATTCGAAACGTCCGAGTCAGGCATTCCGCTTGAAAAGTATTTTTATATAGTTGTTCGGAGGTATTCTAGAGCACAGCACTTATATGACCATTCACAAAAAACTGGTCAGAGCTAGTTTCTTCTACAGCAGTCAGTCGGTCTGACTTGGGAGAATACTCGGTTTTCTTGAGAAAAATACCGACAGAAACCCAGATCGCACTGTTGTGGATTCGCAATGTCCAGCAAGTCATAGTTGACTGCCAGAGAAAACAATCGTATTGCTCCTCACGAGGAATCAGTACTATGAATGTTGTCTTGTCGGTTTACTTCGTATCCGTAAAACCACAAGCTAATCACCGCAGGTGACCATATCTCACTGTTTGACCTCTGTCACTGAAAAAAATCCTTCAGCTGTAACGGTGCCTAGCTGCCATGCCACCGGAAGGAATTACGAGGACCGGGACAGTCGTGTTGCTCAAGACCAGACAGGG